CCACTCTCCGCCCTCCCCGCCGCGGCTGGCGTCGAGAAAGTACAGTAAAAAGTCCAAGTGCAGGGCTCGGCGCAGGATGGGGTCAGGCTCGTCCAGCTACCGGCCCAAGGCCATCTACTTGGACATCGATGGACGCATTCAGAAGGTAGCCCCCTCCCCACCCGCGGCCGCGGGGCGCGCTTCCGCGCGCGCCCCTCGCTGTGCGAGCCCGCCACGGGGGCCCCTCCTCCGGGTGACTGCGCGGGGGTCTCGGCGGGGGGTGGGGAGCCAGGCCAGGGGACGCCGGCGGGGGTGGCGGGGGGGCGGGGGGACCGTTGTCCGTGCGTCCGCGGTACCGGGCTGCGGCCTCCGACAACTTCGGCTGCGGGCGACGGGGCTCTGCGGGGCAGGTGTCCCCACGCACCGGCCCCCGGTGGAAAGGGCGACTCACACGAGGGTAATTTTTCATTTCATGGGCAGAGCTTTCTTTGTAACAAATCTGATTAGGCTGAGTCCGTACCAGAGGCTGGTACATTAAGCCTTTCATTTCCGGCAGAACGACCCCCAGAGCAGACACCCCGGAGCCAGCGGGCAGCCCTGCGGGACAGGGTCCCCGCGCACGGACGGTGCCCCAGCACGTTGCCCCTAGCGGGACTGGCGGGGCGCAGGTGCTGGGTGGGGGGGGCAGTTGCGGGGGGCGGGGCTGGCACAGCAGGGGCGGCTCCCCGCCACATCCCCATCGTGTCCCCGTCCTGGCAGGTGGTCAGCTCTGACAGCAGAGAGGGTGACCCCGGGCTGCTCTATCTCCTGGGGCCTGCGGAGAGACCGAGTGACCCACTGGACCAGCTCTGCGGTCCTTCTGCCCTCCTCTTTAGAGATATGAAGCCCTCCAGATGTCCGGTGTGCCTAACCAGCTTGAGTCTCATAGGAGAGGCGTCCAGAGCAGACCCCCTTTTTTCGCGGCCCCTCCCCTTCTAAGCCCCTGGCGTGGGTCCAGAGCATCGCGGACTCAAGCTTCTGATTGGCAGAGAGGGACAATAAGAGAGCTGACTTGGAAGGCTTTAGCTCCCCCTAAAGCCCCTGGGAAAAGCAATCGTCCCCAAACCTCTGCTGGACATTTCAGGAAAGCCCTGCATCTGCCAAGTCTCACCTTGTTCTTCTCAAGGAGCCCTCAGCTGGGAAGCCAGGGAGAGGTGCCCCACCTGGGAGAGAGTAGCCCCCCCCCCCGCCCCCCGCCCCGGGCGGGGAGTGGGGGGGATTGGGTCTCTCTAGTTCTCAGATGTGCAGGCAGCCTCCGCCTGCTGACAGACTTAAGCCAACAAGCCCCCCTCCCCCCCCCCCCCCCCCAGCTTGACCCCCCCCCCCCCCCCCCCCCGGAAATGGGAAGTACAGGCTCCCCTCCCCCCACCATAGCCAGCTTTAATAGAATGAGAAATTGGGAATAGGAAGCATCTGCAAGGGCAGGTGATCAAGCCCTCTTATTTCATCAAAGCTGGGCAGCTGGTCATCAGCAGATGCAGGACTAGACCCAGGTCCCCTGACTTCCAGGACATGGCACCTGGACTGAATGGGAATTTAACAGCTTCCCCAAAGGAAGAAACAGCCCTCTGCTGAATACTTCCCTGCTCCAGCATGCACACACATGCACAAATATGCCTACCCATGCACATGCATTCACACACAAGCGTCACAAGCATGCACGCACACACGTTTTACATACTCGCATGCATGCACCACACACACATATGCGTGCACGCACACGTGCAAACAAACATGAACCCACATACATAAGCACACACACTTTTGCGACCCCACCAGATGAGAATTATCAAAGATCTGCCGTTTTTATCTTTTGAAAGAGATGAGATGAGATGCTGTCACCAGGTCAGAAGTGATGGCTACTCCCCGAGAACTTCCCACAGGTCTTCCCCAGAAGCTGCACTGGAAGTAGGTAAAAGTGGAAGAGAGGTTCCAGAGGGCGGGAGGTGAGCCCGGAGCCTGGCAGGCTGGGCTGTCATTATGGGCAGGGTGGTTTTTTGCAGTTGACACACCCGAGGTTGGGGTGACCTCCAGGAAAGCAGGCGGCCCTGGGGAAACACGGACACCTGAGTTCAGGAGCGAGGCCGTGGCCTCGGGAGGGGCCGGATCTGATGTTGTGTGCTGGCTCCACACTCTCTGTGGTCTTGGGCAGGTCCCATGGCTCCTCTGAGCTGGCCTCCTCTATAAAGTGGGATAGTAATATCTGTTTTATAGACTGTCATGGGAAGTCAATGACATCATGTAAACAGAGTGCCTGGAACACTGCTGGAACACGGCGGGCATTAGGCGCTTCTCTCTCCGTCTGTTCCACAAACATCCTCCAACTGATACACATAGGGGAGGAGGTAGGCCATGGTCTTTAAGCCTCTGCCATCTCTGCTGTGTCTGTTTCTGGTTCCTGACCTCGCCCTGAGCCCTCTTCCTTTGCTGTTGGCACCGTTGGAGCACTTATAGCTGGACGTTTAGCCCTGGTTGAAAGCCAAATCGTTTGGGGTTTCCGAGTGTGTGCTGGAAAATGGTAACCTCTTGCTCACCTCAGCTCCACACCCAGCAGCACCCTCGAGACTTTAAATGTCACTGCTGAGAGCACTTCCAGCAATGCCTTCAGTGGCTGTGGTTTCTTAAAGTCCCAGGCACTGGGTTGATTCTGCAAGTTCCCCGAATGTGGTCGTGTTCTGTCTCCCTTTCATCCATCCCATCTCCTTTCCATGAAAGGTCATGGACACAAACCTCGAGTTGCTTCCAAGGAGGGGGCACTGGGGGTTTGGGGAGTGGAGGGAAGGCGTGTGTTGCTTCCTGGCACGTGTCTTGTTCTGTCCACCTCGTCGTCAGGCCTGCAGCTCCCACATTACTTCTGCTCTCTGTCCCTTGAGTTACCCAACTCCTGGTCATTCTGCGCTCCCCCAGAGAGTGCACAAACGGAGAGTGCACAAACGGAGGTCACAGTCAAAACAGGGATTCTTTGGAGGTTATCTGCCCCAGCAGAGCTGGGGGTGGAAGATCTAAAGTTGTCTGAAGGGAGGCCCTGGACGGCAAGTGCGGCCGTCTGAGGACGTGCCCGTGATGGTAACGCGGTAGGCGTGCCCGGTGCCTGGAGACACCATGGCAGCCACTGGGTAGCTAGCTCAGTGATTTTTTGATATGAAGAAAACCCCAGACACAGGTCACATGACCTGCCCAGATTATGCAGTGGAAGACCGGCAACAGGAATCTGGGGGATCCTGGGATCACTTTAGGGGATCAGCTTTCCATCCTCCAGGCTTTTCCTTCAAAGGTTGTATGGAGGAGGCTTGGAGGACAGAGGTGGCTCATCTTCCAAGTCCATGCCCTTCCTGGGCCTGTGCAAAAGTGGGATTCCGAGGTGGCTGAGAGCTCGTGCCCGGAGCCAGCCAGACTGAGGTCAGTTCTCAGCATGGCCTTGGGATGGTTACTTGACCTCTCAATGCCACTGTTTTCTCGATGGTAGCACGGGGATGTTGGTAGTGCTGCTTGTTGTGAGAATCGGTGGGGACAAGGTCGATCACTTAGATTGAACAGCTACCGTGTGCTGAGAGCTGGGTCCAGTGTGAATGTGACATTCACCACCCTAGGTGCATCCCACTGAGCAATGGCTGCCTCTGGCCTGAGCCAAGCACTGGGCCCGGACCCCAGGAGGGCACAGATGGTAAACAGCAGCTGTTGCAGGGCCCCCTTTGATGGACAGAAGGACACAGCAGGCCCGGCTGGTGGGAAGGGCTGTGGTGCCAGCCACGTACGGGGCCTGATGAACAGGTTTCCTTCCTCCGGGAAGACCGGCTTTGTGGGGAAGGAGCCCTTTTTGCAGACGGGTAGCCTTGGGATGACTGAGGTTAGGAACTGCTGAATGGCCAGGGGGCCAGCCTCATGCAGCCAGCAGCACCTGCACACACCTGTCCCCATCATATGCTCTTCCCCGTGCCGGGGAGCATAGGTGGGACCTGGCACCTCCTGGCACCAGGTGAAGGAGGAGGGAGTGTGAGCTGGGTCCCCAAACCCAGAGAACTGTAACCCTGCTCCGGAGGCCTCCTTTCTAGAAGCTGATGCTTCTTCTCTTTGCCCAGAGGGTTTGCTCCTTTCTTTCCTCAGCTTTCCCTGGCCTCAGTTCCTGCTCCTTTCTCGCCCAGCTGGGATGCCCAGGGCATGACAGGAAAATGCACGTGGGCTCCTGGCTAGGCTGGTGGCATGTCCTGGCCTAGATTTGCCGACCTTCTGAATGAGACAGAGTGAGGCCTTCATGGCACCCCCTTGGGCTTTAGTTTGATGAGAAGCCTCCTCTGGGCAAGACTGACCGGCCTGGAGCTCCTCAGGCCCATTGAAAGGGACTGCCTCTGTTGATGCATTGCCCTGGTCTAGTGGCTCCCTGGGGGACAGTCCCCTCTTCATGGCACTCTGCTGGGACCACCTTCAGCCACACTGAGCTGCCACGTATTTGTCCCAGCCTTGCTCTGCAGGTGGAACCCAGGTCTTAGTTAGCAAACAGCCCCCTGAATTTTCTAAAACAAGGAAACAAATGAGAAAAACCAAAAAGGAAGAGGCGCGTTGGAAGGTTGTTAAAATGTCAACAGAAGACTGTTCCCGGTTCCTAATGGCACCTGTGTCTGCTCCCCCTTCCCCAGCTGGAGCTAAGTGCCCAGTGCACCCAGCCTTGGCCTGAGACCTGCCTGGCTTCTCACGACACTTGTCTTCCCCCAGCCTGGCCCTGTGGTGACTTGAGAGCCCGGGCTGTGCCCGTGGAGTCCTCAGAAGCCAGCATTCAGCCCCCATGGGCCTGCTGGGCTCTGACCCATCGTCCCCGCCCCAGAGGTTTTCCCCTGGGGTTCAGGCCCTCCTGGCCGTCTCAGGGTCTACCCCAAGGGAATCTCACTCCCTACCGCCTGTCTTTCCCTGTGTCCCCCTGCCCTGCTTCAGCTCTGCACCCTCCGAGGGTCTTCAGGCTCCTCTGCCTTCATTTCTTGCCTTTGGCACAAACACGAGCTGGTGTTTCAAGCTGGCTGCGCTTCTTCAGGGCAAAGATGTCCTCTGTTTTTCGAAGGGTGCCTGCCCCCAGTCTTGTCCCGTGCTCAGCACAGCAGGGCCTGGAGTCCCTCCCTGGCTCACAAGCACCTTCCC